ATATGGTACACTCTCAGCACATATGGTACATTGTCAACACATATGGTACACTCTCAGCACATATGGTAGATTGTCAACACATATGGTACACTCTCAGCACATATGGTACTCTGCACAACATTTTCAGTGGTACACTCTCAGCACATATGGTACTCTGCACAACATTTTCAGTAAACCATTGGTATTCAGAGGGATAAATACATAGATAGTTATTCATTAAACTCATCACATAAATTTACATTCATTCAACAGTGCAGGTATACAATAGCCATCGAACTGGTTAACAATACTACAATCTTGGAGACTAACCTGTCCACCAAGGAGCCGAGCACCTGGGAAGAAACGACGGAGACGACGACGAAGGTGATGAACACGAGAGAGTACAACTTGGCCGCCTCACCCTGCATGTCTTGGGTGGCGAGGAGGTGCGGGTGGCTGTTTTTGTGGGTGGAAAGGAGGTGTTGTTGTTGGGTGGTGTTGTAGGTGGTGTTGAGGGTGTTGTAAGTGGTGTAGATGGTGTTGTAGGTGGTGTTGTAGGTGGTGTTGAGGGTGGGGAGGAGGAAGTAGGTGCTGGAGAGAAGCTTAACGTTACATTTGGGATCCAAGAGACGCTCCCAACATTTCCGTCGTATGATGAAGTCCTGCCCCAGCAACACCTGTCATAACAACACACATATTAGTACACACACACAACACCTGTCATAACCTCAGTACACACACAACACCTGTCATAACCTCAGTACACACACAACACCTGTCATAACCTCAGTACACACACAACACCTGTCATAACCTCAGTACACACACAACACCTGTCATAACCTCAGTACACACACAACACCTGTCATAACCTCAGTACAAACACAACACCTGTCATAACCTTAGTACAAACACAACACCTGTCATATACCTCAGTACACACAACACCTGTCATAACCTCAGTACAAACACAACACCTGTCATAACCTCAGTACACACAACACCTGTCATAACCTCATGCAAACACAACACCTGTCATAAACCTTAGTACAAACACAACACTGTCATAACCTCAGTACACACACAACACCTGTCATAACCTCAGTACAAACACAACACCTGTCATAACCTTAGTACAAACACAACACCTGTCATAACCTCAGTACACACACAACACCTGTCATAACCTCAGTACACACATAACACCTGTCATAACCTCAGTACACACACAACACCTGTCATAACCTCAGTACACACACAACACCTGTCATAACCTCAGTACACACACAACACCTGTCATAACCTTAGTACAAACACAACACCTGTCATAACCTTAGTACAAACACAACACCTGTCATAACAACCTCATTACAAACGCAACACTTGTCATAACCTCATTACAAACACAACACTTGTCATAGCAACAACTACTACTACTTCTCGTTATGGCCTCCAACCTCCTCTTATAGCCACACTACTACTACAACAGCTACCACCGCACCACACAAAACATTACATTGACAAGTGACTTTTAAGAAAAACAGTTTAATTACCAAAGAGACGTAAGCGAGAGTGAAGCAGAAAATGACAGGTTCTACAGTCATATTCCCCATGATGAAAGTGAGGAGGGGGAGTGATCTTGTTGCTACTACTACTTCTGCTACTTCATCTCTAGTTCTTCCTCTCCTCTATACCATCTGTGAACACCTGCCATTACCGGAGTCGTGTCTTGAATCTTTGTTTCTCTGGCTGGCTATTCCAATAACACGTAGAAATAATAATAACAATAATAATAATAATGATAACGCTATAATGTGTGGTTGGTCTCACTGTGACAAGTTAACTGAGGTGTTCTATACAGGTAGAGCCGTAATTAACAATATTATCACATTCTCTCCTCCCCTAAACTTAACCACAGACAAACGCTGGCTGTGACTGGACCGACCACCATTGTCTTCTTATCTATCTATATATATTACTCTCATTCTCGTTCTGATACCTATCTGTTTACGTTACTCACCCCAAACACCCGCCTCTTACTCCCATCATCTGTCCTCCACCCCTAATATGTCCCCCACCCCCAACATCCGTCTCTTACCCCCAATATCTGTCCCTCAACCCCAACACCCATCCCTTACCCCCAATATCTGTCCCTCACCCCCAACATCCATCCCTTACCCCCAATATCTGTCCCTCACCCTCAACATACGTCTTTTACCCCAACATCCGTCTCTTACCCTAATATCTGTCCCTTACCCCTACATACGTCCTCACACCGACACCCACCCTTCACCCCCGCCACCCCCACACTGCCCCTCCACATGATCAGTCTCCACGTGATACTCGGCCACGCTTACCCTGACGTCATACGCACAGTTGCCACTTCTTAGAGACAACCTGTTTGATTTTCTAATCAAGTTACAATATACAAGGTCTGTTTTACCCATATAATTCCCCATTATCACAAGGCTCCGTGGTTTGGGGTCGACTGTAATGATATTAGATGATATGGGTAATTTCTAACCCAAAGAAACGTTTGGCAAATTATTATACAATGCCTCCATGTGCTGATGGCGCATCGATTTTGACAAGAGGGAAGATGAGGTTTTCGTACGCACAGCTATTGACTTTTATCATTCGCCTGCGTAAAGTTTATGCAGTATATAGCTCAGGGCACGCACATTGGTTCTTTAGGTCCATCTGAGAACCGGCATGGTGGGATCAATGAGAGATAGTGGTAATGTGAAGTTAAACTTTTGTCGTTCAATACTTTCTTGCGTGGCGCGGTGGCAAGAGGTGGGCGTGACCGAGTGCATACACTCCGCCCCTTACGTCATAGTGCCGTGCCATGATTGGTCCATTCCTCGTGTTGTCCGCCGCCCGTGACGCGACGTCGTTCTCTTGTTGATATTGGGCGTGGACACCACCCCTTAAAACTCTCTTAAAACAAATGATTAGAAACCTTTATTAAGTGTAATTACGTGTGATATAAATTCATAACATATTCGTTAATAAAAATGGTTCTAGATAAAGTGGTTTGTGGTTAATCAAGCGGTGGAGAATCGTAGGGTGGAGCCGGTGGGCAGCAGACACGTGGGTTCGTTATTTCACGACTTGAGTGAGGCAGAGAGTTGTACGGCTCGCCTGGTGTTGTTTTGGTCCCGTCGCGCCATTTTCGTCCACCAAAAACTCCGCCTTTTCTCCGTTTTATTCCGTTATCGTGGGTGTGAAAAGTGTGTCGCAAGCGGCGAAGGAGAGATGAGCCTCGAACTCCTGTTAGACGCGGCGAAATTCCTTGAGCAACAGGAGGAAGAAGAAGAGACTAGCAAAGGTAAGAAGGTCGACAGGGGTCGGTTTCTAACGAAGAGGGAGGGGGTGGATATTTAACTCCCTGCTACACACCGGCTCTGTCGCAAATGTGTAGTTTGTTTACTAATATTAAACCCCTGGCTGTAATTACCGCATTATTACAGCTCACAGTGTTAGAACGATTACTGAATGAGGTGGACGTAGTGTCTGTAGACGTGGAAGAGGCCAAGGGAGGCGAGTTATGGTCACTGATCAAAGTCGAAACGTTTCTAGTATGACCTGAGAATGAAGGTTCAAGGAGGGGGTGTTACACATATACAGACGTCAATTTAACCTGAAATCCCTGTTTATTTTCCTCTATAACGGCTATTGGAAAGAAGATTGGGAAGCGTGAATGTTGGCCTGGTTTGGCTGGAGGGTTGGGCAGAGCGGAGGTGCCGCAAGACTAAGGTGAACGGTGTAGATTTTGACAGGAAAGTGATGGCGTAGGTATTTGACAGTGGCGGCCAGACACGTGCCGGCCGGAGCTCAGGAAGTTATTCACAGTAATATTTTGTGACGCTCCCGCCCCCCAAACCAGCCCCTCCCTCACCTCCTTTTGTCCATAAACCTGACCACTAACCAAACCTAATGAGACCCAACCTAACCAAACCAGGCCTAACCTGACCAGACCTAACCTGACCTAACCTGACCTGACCTAATTAACCTAAACAAACTTCATCTGACCTGACCTAATCTGACCTAACCTGGCCAAACACGCTGACGTAACCTAATCTACCTTGCCCAGTCCCTCCCTAACTCACTCTTGTTTGTAAAGCTGACCTTTAACCTTAACTAATTTGGCTTAATTAAACATAACCCAATATGACCTAATCTGACCTTAATTCGAATCTGAGTTAACCTAACCTAGCGAAACCTGATCTCACCTTAACCTAATTTATTCTATCCAAATTGACCTAACTTTACCAAACCTAATGTGACCTAACCAAACTTTATCTGACCTAACCTAACTTGACCTAACAAAACCTAAAATTACCTGTCCATAATTAACCTCAAAACACCATAACCTAGGCAAATCCCAAATGGATATGACCAAGTCAGGTTTGGATGTGGAAAATTTGGTTACGTTAGGTTTGTATAGATTTAAATTGAATAGTTTTATTTTCATTAAGCTCGATGAAGTTGACTTAGTTGCTGTTAAAATAGGTTGATATTAGGTTAAGGTTAAATAATGTTAGCTTTGGTTGCATTAGATTGGGTTGAGTACATTCACACTACAGATGAGGCCAGACTTGGTTGTGGTTAAAATAGATTAAGATAGATGATAGTTTAGGTTATTTTTGGTTGAATTAGATTGGGTTAAATTTGGGTTGAGTATCAGTCATGCTAGAGCCTGCGTGTGTGTGTGCTTGGTAGTGAGGGGGGGAGGGGGGAGAGATAATGCTGGCACAGGCACCTAGCGTCCTCTGCGTATTGGGAGACGATCGATGAATGAACCTCCTATCAACACAATAACCTAACCCAACCTTGCACAATGCTTCCTCTTCATTTTAATCACAAATATACGTTACTTTCTCGATCCTAATAAGATAATTTTTTTTTACTCATTACTGTATTAAAACTGTATTCGTGGTCTCTTGGTTTTTTATTGCTTTTTTTTTCATTTCGGAATGTTTAAAAACGCATCTGCCTGATACAGTGTCATTACCAGCCCCCCCCCTCCCCACACACACACACATCAAAAATACCTACTACGGAAATTTTAATTTTTTTTACGAATTTTAACTAAATACTTACACTAGTAACGTCTAAACATGCATAAATTATTGATGTACAGTATAAGTGACAATGCTTAGGTTAGCTTAGCTTAGGTTAGTGGGGATTAGGGTTGTGTTAGTTCAGCTGAGGTAAGGTTAGGTTACTGCAGATTAGGGTTCTGTTAGTTCAAGTTAGGTTAGGTTAAGTTAGTATGTGTGAGGTTGAATTAAACGTGTTCTAAACTGACTTGATCCATGTTAAACTAGACTTGATTGAGCTGGGTGGTATTAATCTAACCTAACCTAATTTAATCCCAATACTTGAGGTTTATTATGGTCATTATTAACATCGTCTCTTTGTTAATTGATGTAGCAAGTTATTGATGATTGATGTGGCAAGTTATTGATGATTGATGTGGCAAGTTATTGATGATTGATGAAGCAAGTTATTGATGAAGCAAGTTATTGATGATTGATGTGGCAAGTTATTGATAACTGATGTGGTAAATTATTGATGATTGATGTGGCAAGTTACTGATGATTGATGTGGCAAGTTATTGATGATTGATGTAGCAAGTTATTGATGATTTGTGTAGCAAGTTGTTAATAATTGATGTGGCAAGTTGTTGATGATTGATGTAGCAAGTTATTGATGGAGCAAGTTATTGATGATTGATGTGGCAAGTTATTGATAACTGATGTGGTAAGTTACTGATGATTGATGTGGCAAGTTATTGATGATTGATGTGGCAAGTTATTGATGATTGATGGAGCAAGTTATTGATGATTGATGTGGCAAGTTATTGATGATTGATGTAGTAAGTTATTGATGATTGATGGAGCAAGTTATTGATGATTGATGTGGCAAGTTATTGATGATTGATGTAGCAAGTTATTGATGATTGATGTAGCAAGTTATTGATAACTGATGTGGCAAGTTATTGATAACTGATGTGGCAAGTTATTGATGATTGGTGTTGCAAGTTATTGATGATTGATGTTGCAAGTTATTGATAACTGAGGTGGCAAGTTATTCACGATTGATGTGGCAAGTTAATGACGTGGCAAGTTATTGATGATTGATGTGTCAAGTTATTGATGATTGATGCGGCAAGTTATTGATGGTTGGTGTGGCAAGTTATTGATTTAGCAAGTTATTGATGATTGATGTGGCAAGTTATTGATGATTGATGTGGCAAGTTATTGATGATTGATGTGGCAAGTTATTGATTTAGCAAGTTATTGATGATTGATGTGGCAAGTTATTGATGGTTGGTGTGGCAAGTTATTGATGATTGATGTGATAAGGTATTGATGATTGATGTGGCAAGTTATTGATTTAGCAAGTTATTGATGATTGATGTGGCAAGTTATTGATTTAGCAAGTTATTGATGATTGATGTGGCAAGTTATTGATTTAGCAAGTTATTGATGATTGATGAGGTAAGTTATTGATGATTGATTTGGCAAGTTATTGATGGTTGGTGTGGCAAGTTATTGATGTTTGGTGTGGCAAGTTATTGATTGTTGATGTGGTAAGTTTTGATGATTGATGTGGCAATGATTGATGTGGCAAGTTATTGATTTAGCAAGTTTTTGATGATTGATGTGGTAAGTTATTGATGATTGATGTGGCAAGTTATTGATTTAACAAGTTATTGATGATTGATGTGGCAAGTTATTGATGATTGGTGTGGCAAGTTATTGATTTAGCAAGTTATTGATGATTGATGTGGCAAGTTATTGATGATTGATGAGGCAAGTTATTGATGATTGATGTAGCCATTTATTGATGATTGATGTGGCAAGTTATTGATGATTGATGTGGTA